TTTTTGCTGTTGTTGTTGCTGCTGTTGTTGCTGCTGCTATTGTTTCTATAATTGCTGCCGCTGCAGTTGTTGTTGTTGTTGTTACTGTTGTTGCTGTTGCTTCTGCTGTTGTTGCTGTTATTTCTTTTGTGGTTGTTGCTGTTCTTGTTGCTACTGCATGCTGTTGTGTTATGTTGCTCTTGGTGTTTTTGTTGTTGCTCTGCTATTATTGTCGTTACTGCAGTTGGTGATTCTGAAGTTGTCACGGATGTTGTTGTTGCTATATTTCCTTGACGTTCATTGAAGTAATTGTTTATAGATTTTCATGGATGTTTCCATGTGTTTCCCAGGTGGATCCTGCTTGTCCTGAATTTGAATCCACTCACTGTTCAGTACAACAAACAGCCAACGTTGAATTCAGAAAACTGAAAATAAGTTGTCCACAAAAGTCTGCAGTAGATCTACAAGCGCATGTTCTCACTCTTACTTCCAGGTGAGATATATATTACCTTTCATTGTGCGTGCTCTTGATTGGTCTGGAACTGTGCTGTATTAGTGAACAGAGCACAGTTCTGATGCTATTCACACCCTAAAAACTACGACCGATTTCCCCCCCTATCGTATTGTACATCTATTAAGCGGACATCTTCGAAAACTTGCCTGATATCGGCTCAATAAAGCCTTTATTATACTGCTTGTTTATCCATTCTTATACAAAAGGGATTTTCTTGTCATGTTTTAACAGTTTACCCCAGTCTACAGAAGAGCCTACAGACTCTTCGTCTTCAAGCTCGACGAGTTCAAACCAAAGTTTCAGCTTTAAGCTTGGTGCAACATTATGGGAGGTGGATGTGGTGTTAGGTACTGACTCGAGAGAATTCGCCAATGTGAATGTTAAAGGTTAGTAGCTGGTCTTATCTGTTCCCTTTTGTCACTGTTCCCTCTTTTCCTTTCTCCTTATCTCCGTCTCTTTCTTATTTTGTTCGTTTATTCCTTACCTACCTCCCTTCGTTCCTCCTTCCTTCCTTTCATTTCTTCCACCGTTTGTTCGTTCGTTCATTCTGTCCTTCCTTTCTTCTTTCTTTTGTTCCTTCTTTATTTTGTCCGTCCGTTCGTTTTTTATTTTTTTAGTTCGTTCGTTCGTTCGTTGGTTCATTCATTCGTTCCTTCCTTCCTTCCTTCCTTCCTTCCTCCCTTCCTTGCTTCCTTGCTTCCCTCCCTCTTCCATT